CAGCACAACGAGCAGGCAGATTGAATGGCTGTTCAGAAAACTCTCCCATTCCCCCCTTTGAAAAGACAGGCAGTTTTTGAAGTTTTCCGGGAATCTCAAAATAAGATGCTAGATACGATACAAAACCCGTGTAGACGATGTTCTCCGGCTCGCGAAAGCTTGGCAGGGAATGAATTGGAGCTGTGGACGTCTCAGTGGCCTGAATTGCGGTGCACACTTCAGCAGGTAGAATCCATGTGGGTACTTCTCCAGTAGGAATGTTTGGGGTTGCTGAGCGTAAGAAATGTGTGAACAACTTCTTCGCCATGGATTCTGTCTCTTGGAAAGAAGGGTCTCTTCTGTTTTTGATAGTGCAGCCAGCGGTAGTGATTTCACGAAGGTCCATTGCCACTTTTTAATACTTGGTCTTCCTTCGGCTGCTTCCTTTGGCTTGCTGATTTCGAAGATCTTGCGCAGAGGTCATCGAGGCGCATTTTCCTCAGGCTTGTAACCCTTTCACCAGCAATTCGTTGACGTAGGTTGGGTCCTCTTCGAGAGGAAAGTCGCAACTTGATATGAGCTTTTCCAGCAGGTGGCTGTCAAACTCTTGTTGCAACACTGTGATAGACTTTCTTTACCAACTTTCGATCGAATCGTACCTCAGTTGAAAGGAGGCAATAGTTGTAGTCAAGAAGAATGGAACTACGAGACATCGAGCATGCTTCACCTTCGCTCAAAGATGTGGTCGAACTGTTACCTTGGAAGATTCTCATGTCCAGCAGTGCTGTTCTTTTTTCATGAAGATGGAGTACCAAAGAAAGAGTCCCGCAGTAGAAAAGGCCCAGCAGAACGGTTGCAATCTTCATTTTGCACCTCATCCAAGCTTACCACCCTATATTCATCTTTATGTGGCACCTCAAATTTCGCGCTGAAGGCGCACAAATAATTTCAGTAGAAAAACTTCTTGTTGCTGTAGAAGTGAGATGGCCAGTCGAAGTGTTAGGATCTCATGCGAAGAAAATGGACGACAGGTAAGCTTACGACAATGCCAATTCATCCAACGCCTGGCGATGGAACTT